GGGAGGTGAGGGCGGGGCCAAGCCCAGAGCTCTGGGTACCTGAGAAGGCACTGAGTTGGTTTGGATGCAGAGGATCAGGAAGCAGTGGTGGTTCCCCAGGTGTCTGGGGCACCAAGACAAGGAATGGGACAGGACCCAGGTTAGGAGGAGAGACCAGCGGGGGAGATGGGAAGGTGAATGAGGCTTGGGAAGTCAAGGCACAGAGGGCATGATGGGCTTACCCCAGAGAGAGAGGCCTGTGAGTCCGAGAGAGCACACATACAATTTAAAAAAAATACTATCTAGCACTCAAGGAGATCATGAAGTTTGCCATGAAGAAACTATTGGCACCAACCTCAACAGAGCTATCTGTCAAAAGACTGAGAAAAGTCCTATTTGCATCCATGTGCTTGTCCAGAAAGCATGATGAAGCTGGAGATCCAACAAACAAACTCTATACTTGGTAACCTATGTCCCTGTTACCACAGTCAAGATCTATACTGTCTGTGTGAATGAGAACTAGCCATTAATTATCACACAAAGTTATAAAACTGCCAAAAAAAAAAAAAAAAAAAAAAGGAAGTGCTATGGGGGAGTTGGGTGTATTGAGTCTACATTTGTGTCTCCCAAGCATCCTAACTTAAAGATTTTGATAATGGAGATGCATTTTGCTTTTGTTAAGGTTCAGAAAGCCCTGCCCCCTCACCAACAGGGTCTCAAGGACTTCTCAAGCTCCTGAGAAAAGGGAACAGAGCTGATAAGCACCCTGCTCTTTGAAGTCAAGAGAAGCAGACTTTTCTCCACTGTTTGGCCAACACAGCAGGCTTGCCCTTTGATCTCTAAAGAGAACAGGTTTTAACAGTCCCACTCTCCCACTTCTCCCACACCAACTTTAAAAGAAAAACATCTTCCTGCCTTCTGCAGGAAGCAGAAGCCTCCCCCTTTAGAGGACCTGGGGCAGATATTTTCCCTGCCTGGAAGGGAATCTGTCCCATGTGTTCCTTTGCTAATAAACTCTAAAGGACCTGGGGCAGACATTTTCCCTGCCTGGAAGGGAATCTGTCCCATGTGTTCCTTTGCTAATAAACTCTATTCCGATGGAGTTTTATCTGTGTCCTGGTGCTTCCTCCTCTATTGGTTCATTCTCCAGCAACTTTTTACCTATCAGCTTTGCCACCTAGTATTTGTCATATAGACATTTTCCTGTCACTAGTCTTGTTAATAGCCACTTCAATTCTGCATTAATTCCAGCTGTCTTTCCACCACTCTAGCATATCAGTAAAACTAGCAAGTTTTAGGCTATCTTCTATCACAGCTAAAGCTTGCTCTTGGCTAAAACCTTAAATTCATTAGTTGAATTACAGAACAAAGTAAAAGCTGTTATATACTTGATGGCATCAACATTTTCCATTACAAATACTGTTTTACTTTTCTTTAAGTTGGGAGGGGCTGGGGGGTAGTGCCTTGAGGGGTCTTTGAATTTCTAAACCTTCTACATCAAAGTTTTCTTCACCGGTCTGAATTACAAGAATATTGAAAAACAAAAACAACCCCTTTTCCTACTATAAAATCCTTGCCATGTTTTTGGTCTTTATGTAACTCAAAACAGCTGAACTAAAATATGAGGTTGGTTGAGTTTTATTCAAAATCTAAGAATTCATCAGAAATGAAGTAATTGATAATTCTGAAACTGTCATTCTAGCTAATCTGACCCAAGAATAAATTTCACTGAGCTCTTAGTTGATGATCCAGAAAATTACTAAATAACACTGTAGAGAACAAAACACACTACAGCTAAGGATGCCAAAACATTTTAAATTGTTTACTTAAGTGCTTCTAGACTAAATTGTAATAACTTGGGCTTCTTGTCCAGTGTAACTTTCCTCTGATTTCATACCTGCCCACAGCTACGCACATGCTGTTTTATTACCAGGATCAGCAAAATAATATTTACTTCAAAAGCTTTTGCAGAATACATTTGACTATACAAAGCAGCACTTCCAGGGCTGGTGAGATGGCTTGGCAGGTAAAGGTGCTGTTGCCAAGCCTGTTGACCCGGGTTCTATTTCTGGAGTCCATATAATGGAGAGAACCAGCTCCAGGGGGCTGTCCTCTGACTTTCACACACGTGTTGTGATATGCATGTCCACACATATACATATGTATACATACAATCACACATAATTTAAAAAGTTTATTATTTTTATTTTATGTGTATGTGTGTATTGCCTGCATGCAGGTAAGTGCACCTGTGTCATGCAGTGACCTCAGAGGTCAGAAGAGGCTGTTTGATTCCCTGGGACTTGAGTTATGGACAGTTGTTAGCTGCTGTGCGGGTGCTGGGATTTGAACCCGGGTCTTCTGCATGAATAACCAGTGTTCTTAACCACTGAGCCATCTCTCCAGGCCTTCATATTTTTTTTAAGGCAACAGTTGCTACATTCATAGTGATCTGCTGGTGATTCAGAATGAAACCTGACCCTCCACATACAAGAAATTAGCTCCTTTCAGTAGGAGTGGGTATCATTAGCTCATGGTCATCTGTCATAATCAAATATGTGATAATTTACCCCCATGCTCAAGTGCTCTCAGAATCTTAGTACTTCCAGAATGAACTACTTTTTGCCTTGTCACTAGAGAGGTGTCACACTCATACTGATGAAAACACAGATGGTAAATATGGCATAAGGTACATGTCCTTATGCATGCAATCAGGGTGTGTGCTTTCTGACACTGCAGGCTGCAGGCACGTTAGCACATACAAGAGGTCATCTCTTCCCAACTTCCTCCTGTAACCTTTATTCAAAATAAAGTTTTCTTTTTGTAATTATTAAATTCAAATGTACCCTAGAGAATCACTGGAAGCCTGAAACAAAGCACACAGTATGCAACAAATGAGAGAAAAGTTCCCACTATTTGCAGTCACCGTGTGACTGAATTTATATTTTGTTTCATTTGCTGTGTGAATCTGTATTTTCATGATTGGGGTCACACTGTGTATAGAATTTCTACTTTCATTACATTTATTTATTGGGGTGGGGTGCAAGGGCCATAGCACATGTGTGAAGCTCAGAGGATAACTTGTGAGGGTCAGTTCTCTCCCACCATATGAGTCCAGGGAGCTTGAATTAGAGTCTCAGGAATTGGCAGCAAGTGCCCTTACCCAATGAGCCATCTTACCAGCCAGGATCTTTATTTTTAAAAATCACTAGTAAGGAACTGGAAACGTAGCTCAGCTGGTAGAGTGCTTGCCTAGCATTCACCAAGCCCAGGGTTTAGTCCTGAAGTGCCACATATACTGGATGAGGTGCACACACCTGAGGTCTCAGAACTTGGGAGGGAGAGGCAGGAAGAGCAGGTCAGGATCATCCCTTAGCTACACAGAGAGTTCAAGGTCACCCTGAGATACATGAAATTCTATCTCAAAAATAAAAAAGTAAAACCACCATTAATATCAGCCTTAATGTAAGGCATATACTATTTTGTTATGTAATACACACTTTATAGCCATTTGGGATTAAAATTGCTTCTGGTATCTTAAGTACTCTCAAATCTTTATGCATAAAATGTTTTCAATATTGCTGTATTAGACAAAGATTTTAGGTTATGAGTGAAAGAAAATCTGCCCCAGATTAAGCACAAAAGGAGAAGCACTTGTTTGTGTGATGAAAACCTAGGGGTGAGTTAAATTCAGACATTACTAGACGTAGGAGCTAAGTGATGTCTTCAGGAACCCATCTTTAATTATTTTTTATTGACTTTTTAAATTTAGTATACAAGGTCCTGAGTTTCACTGCAACATTTTCATGTGTTTGTGTGTGCGTGAGTGCGCACATTATTATATTTGTTCTTATCTGCCCCTCCATTGCCTTACTTTGTCCCTGCTCGCCCCCAAATAATACCTCTATTTTCATGTCACATGTAGGAATCCATCATTTTGTCTTCTGGACTGGTTTTTCTCTCCCATCATTTTATTCTTAATCTCGCCCCATTACATCTCTTTCAGAAAGACAACTTTTCTTTCCCCACATTCCAGCTGATGTCTCGTAGCTGAGGCTCATTAATACAACTGAGGTCAAACACCCAGGCCTGAACTGACTGCTGAATCAGGTTGAAGGACAGCACCAAACTACCTGGCTCTGCACTCAAACCTCTGGTGTTTCCTGAACCTACATGCCTGCCTTTCATTGGGGGTGGGGGGGTCACTGCCCGTGTCCTCTCTTTCGGCTCTTCTCCCAGTATCCCTTGGCTTGCTGCTCCGTCATGCTCTCCAGTCCCCACTCGTTGTTGGACCTGACCACCCTCCCCTCTGTATCTGCTTTCCCTGCTGCTTTTCTTCATAGATGTATTACTACCTGATGATCTGCTATATTTTCATGTGGTATGCATCTGAATCTGTTTCATTGGAACAATGAGAGCTGATATTATTTTTAAGTCTATCCTGTATTTAATAATGAAAGACATCACCAAGCCAGGTGTGTAATCATCTCTAGGACCAACCCATCTGGACAGGAGAGAATGGTAGGATTCCTCAAAGAAAGAAAAAATTGGGCTCCATCGTGTCCCTTCCCACTAACCTCACAGTTCCATTGTCCTGGAAACCAAAGAATTCTCCTCCTGGTACCTAGGCCACAGCTGGGCAGGTTCAGCTTTGCCTGTTGGCCTCACCTCATCAAGCTCCTTTTCACACACCAGGCTCCCAAATTCCAGGCTTTCTCTTCTGTCCTGGAATCTACTCCTTCGTACATCAGAACTCTGTATTTTCTCTTCCTCCTGGCCTAGAAGGTCCATCTTGCTTGGCCATTTCCTACTCTTTCTTTGCAAACTTAATCCCTTTAAGGATTTAGGGCCAGCTGCTCTAAGGGTTGCCCCATCCAACCCTAGCAACACCTCTAATCTGTTCATTGTTATCATTAGAGAATATATATACATATACAAATGTGTGTGTGTGTATATATATATATATATACATATTTACTTTTAAAAGAACTTTAATTTTAAAAGAAGTCTTACAAAAAGAGTTAATTCATATAAAAAGTATTTAATATAAAGAACATCAAAGCACCAAAATCCAATGATATATCACAGATGATCCTACTCAGATTTCCCTTATCTGAAAACAATTGCTTAAACACAGAAAACCAAACATCAAGTTGTCACCTTTCTCAAACAAACCTTCAGCACCACTCAACATGGAGATTAGAATGAACTGAGCAAAATTAAACAAATAGACAGTGTTCTTAAAAATAAATATCCAATACAAAGTTTACTGGTTTAAAAATAGCACTATCAGAGAAAAGGGATATGTCTTTTCAATTTAAAGTGGCTAGGCAGATGATTTACCAAAATTTGTGCACACTAAACTTTGAGTAAGTGGTTGTTGTTGTTATAGTTTTTTGAAATAGGGTCTCTTCTAGATCAGACTAGCTTTAAATTCACTATGTAGCCAAGGCTGATCCTGAACTCTTGATCCTCCTGTCTCCACTCCCCAAGTGCTGGGATTACAGGTGTGTGCCACCTGTCTGTGTGGTTGATTTTTAGATCTTTCCTGTGATCTGGACTTGGAAATTAAGAGAGGATATTTTTAAAAAGTAACAAGATAGCTGGTGGACAGCAGACACATGCACACATGGATTTTATGTTCTTTGTTTTCTGTCATTTGTGTCACCAGTCAGGAACCTCAACCACAAAGGGCGTTTTCACATCTATCTGGCCACTGTTGACAATGGTGCAGTCAGTAAGTGGGCGGTCGTTCTTATCGGTTGCTTGAAGTTCTATGGAGTGCACCACCGTCTGGTAAGAGAAAAGTAGACCCACAGCTTAGTCTGACAGGCAGCTATGCCAGTCTTCAGGGGTAACCAACCCAATTCCACAAGTCCAAGTGGGAAATGAGTTTGTACTTATTGTTCTTTTGAGACAGCATTTCCTGTATCAGGCTGGCCTAGAACTCACTATGCAACGGAGGATGACTTTGATCTTCTGATCCTCCTGCTTCCACCTCCCAAGTGCTGGGATAACAGGTGTGTGTGTACCACCACAGCAGGTTTATGTAGTGCTGGAGACTGAACCCAGGGAGGGATTCATGTATACCAGGTAGTGCTCTACCAACTGAGCTACAACTTTAGCCCTGGGAAATAAGTCTTAGCATTATATGAACCATACCCGCCGGTTTGTAAACAACTCCAGTGTTTGCTTTATCTGCTCTAGGCAATAAATTGCTCTTCAAAATAATTCCAGCCAAGTGTGGAACACTTAGAATATTATCCTGAGGCTTTACATTTATATGCTATATCTATAAATATGTATCTATCCACTCATTCAAAGAGAATAAATTCGCCTACTACTAGTTTCCGACACTCAGATAATTCACTGGTATATTTTCCCATTTATTTTTTAGTAAGCATTTTATATTTTAAAAAGACAGATTTTTTTCTGAATCCTTAACTCTAATAAAAGATATTTATATTTCTCTCCTACAGTTCAGTGTGAGAATCAGCATAGTTTGAGTCAGTTTCAGCTCCACCCCTACCCTAGTCTAGTTATAACAAAAAGGGCCAGAAAGAGATCTAAAAGTAGAACTAGTTCTGGCTTTCCCTATTTTAAGATGGCCTACAACTTTAGTCTAGAGACCGAGTCCGATATGGATGTAATCCAGTCCCACAGTGGCAGGCAGCCCATGAAGACTTCTCAAGCCTGTCCACCTAGGTTTTACAACGAAGGGGGAAGGTGTTGTGACCAAGAAAGTAGTTTCTGATGAGTGTTCCAAACAGAGTGCAGCTCGGCTCCTGGATTTCCATTGGGTAGATCAGGATGGCAGGTGGAAGGCATGGAAAAACTGCTACCAGTGAGATGGGTTGTTTGTTCAGATGAGAGATGCAAAGCAACTCACATGCAAACAAAATGCAGTGAAATCAAGAAAAGGGCAAAGAAGGCCAGGACAGTCCTGTGCCGTGGTGGTCAGTTTACAGTGGTCAGTTTAGGAGCTGAGACAGTTGTTCTGGGCAGCTGCTGAAGAAAAAGAATGAGGATTCTTAGAAATGTCCCTATGGATTATGAATTAGATCTCTTTGTTGTTTTTAAAGAAGTAACTAACAGCATAGATATGAATAATTTTAATAACTTCTGGTTGCTATACTGTGTGTCTTTGAGTGTGACTTGGTGCCTAGACTGAACTACACAGGTTCAGGATTTTTTTTTTTTTTGGTCTTTTTGAGACAGGGTCTCCTTGGAGCCCCAGCTGTCCTGGAATGCACTATGTAGACCAGGCTGGCCTCGAACTCACAAAGATCTGCCTGCCTCTGCCTCCCAGGGTTCAGGATCTTTAAAACTTGTTTACTTATTTATTGTCAAGACAAGGTCTTGTTTTTAGCCTAGGCTGGCCTAGAACATTCTCTGTAACCCACCTGGTCTTGAACTCATGATCCTCTTCTCTCTTACTTTCCAGTACTGAGATTATAGGCTCACCACCACACTTGGCTATAATATTTTATTTTTAATTGTGGTAAGAAACATATAACATGAAATTTGCCACCTCTCCATTTTTAAGTGTTATTCTACAGCAGTATCCTTGAAACATTTTTATTCTAGAGGGAGGCTCCATAAGACTCAGGAAGCAAACAATTCACACATCTCAGGAAGTCCTGAAATTTACAAAATTCTCAAGGACCCTTCCTTCCTCCTTGAAGCAATAAAGACTGCTGGGGACTGAGAGGACTGTTGAGCTGCTGGCAGGTGGTACAGTTGACTGTAGGGCTGCAACTTCCTGAGCATCATCCATGCTGGGGTAGGCTTTTCAGGGATGCAGCTGTCTTTGAGTTGTCTCTGCTCCTATGTCACCTCTCCTCTATACTTCTATAAGGAACTCCAATAACTCACTGGTTTGCCAAGATGGACTTTGGTAGAACTGTTTCTTTGGTCTGTCTTCAGAGCTCTATTTGGGGTGAACAAATGTTTGTTCATGTCTCCCCAGGACAAGTCACACAAGTATATAGCTAAGTAGTGTTTATATGCATGGAACTAGAAGTTGTGTCATCTGGCATAACCAAACTTTGTACTCCTAGCTGAGGCAGAAAGGTAGATAAAGTACCTTATCAGAAAGGGAGATATGGGAAGAGGCCACAGGTGGGAGACAGGATAGCAAGGGGGCTGACAGAGTTGTGTTTTGAGTGTTAGTACAGATGCTGACAGAGGCTTTGTTTTGCAAGATGCTATTTTTATCGTTAGCTCTAACAAAGCCTGGACAAGACTGACACGTCTGGACTTGGGCTGGGGCTGATGGTTCCCCCTTCTTAGTTTAAAGGCACCAATCTAGAATAAGGGGGAGGATCTAGGGTGTGTCTCCCCCAAGACAGAATAAAGGGACAAGTTCAAGTGTAACTATGGAATTCTCAGCTCTGAGGTCTGCCTTCCTCTTGGCAGGGAGTCTGTTGCTTGCTCTGCTTTTGGCCCTTGCTCTGAGTTTCTGTCTTCTATCTGTCCTGAATGATCAATTTCTTGCTTGTCTTTTGGAATGAGTCCAGACCCGTAGAGGCTGTCACCTGATCCTCAGTAGACCCTTATCTGACCCCTTAAATAGCTCCTGGCAACCACCAATCTACTTCCTATCTCTATGAACTTGACTACTCAGGATACCTCATATAATTGCACTCATACACTATCCTTTTGGTGACTGGCTAATTTGACCTAGGATAAGGTTTTCAAGGTTTATCTATGTTATATAGCATGTGTTTAATCATTACTTTTTTTTTTTTTTGGTCTTTTTGAGACAGGGTCTCCCTGTAGCCTCAGCTGTCCTGGAACTCACTGTGTAGACCAGGCTGGCCTTGAACTCACAGAGATCTGCTTACCTTTGCCTCCCGAGTGCTGGGATTAAAGGCATGCGCCACCACGTCCAGCATCTAATCATTACTTTTCAATACCGAATAATAGTTCATTGCATATATATTCTGGGCCCTGACTTTATTTGTTACATTACTTAAAGTGACTAAAGTACTTAGCTTCTCCATGACTATTTTAATGCTTTTAGCAATTAAAATATCATGACACATATAATTTGTTCACCTTTGAAAACCCTAGTTATTGAACAATAATAGATATCTAGCACCATATTTGAAGATTCAATGAATCTCTGAAGATTCTCTCATAAATATAAAGTTTTGTAAAAGAACAAAATGATATATCAAATTACCATCCCATCGAGGACTTTTCCAAATACAACATGTTTACCATCCAACCAGGTGGTCTTGGCCAAGGTGATAAAGAACTGGGAGCCGTTAGTGTCAGGCCCAGCATTGGCCATGCTGACCCAGCCAATGCCATAATGCTTCAGTTTAAAGTTCTCATCAGGAAATGTCTTGCCATAAATGCTTGTACCTGGGTGAGACACAGGGAGGGATGACAGCAGCTGTTAAACCAAAGCCAGTTCTTCAAAGAAACACGTTTTTCATGGAATCAGTTAACAGAATCCCACAGGAGATAGGACTAAGGAAAGAAAGGTAAGGGGGGGGGGTGCAGCTGGAGAGATGGCTCAGCAGTTAAGAGCATTGGCTGCTCTTTCAGAGGACCTGGGTTCAGTTCCTAGCACCCACATGGCAGCTAACAACCATCTGTAACTCCTGTTCCAAGGGATCTGATGCCCTCTTCTGGCCCCCACAGCCTTCCCTGCCCACATCCCCTTCCGACAGGCTGTTTACTCAGTGGTCTCTAACCTCAAAACCCTGGCTTGGCAAGAAGTAAGCCGAAGTGGAAATAAAATTAGGCATTTTAGAGTTGATTGTCAAGGACATACAAAGTGGCCTGACAAGACAGCTCTGCTCACAGAGAGGTCTAGGCTTAATCTAAATAGTCCAAAATTCCTTCTTTTCCAAACTTAGAGAATTTAAACCTAAGACCCATCATACATACTGAGCAGGGAGAGCAGAAAGGAAACAAACATAGAAAAGAGGGCAAAGTGGGGCTGTGACTCTTTCTGCTGCACTCTATGGTAGGAAGGTAGGTGCCAGAGTGAGGGCGCAGGTGCTCAAGCTAACTGTAAGGCTTTTTGAGACCAGGTGTTTCACGCATGCACAAGTCTCAGCAAACCCTAGCCCTGAGGAACAGGTGTTTCTCTGCTCCACCCTGTACTTCATAGCCTGTACCACTTTTGTAAGACTGTTTTTCTTCTTTTGTAGTACTGGAGATTGAACCCAAGGCCTTGTGCATGCTAGGCAAGTGCTCTAACACCAAGCTACATCCCTAGTCCTTTGTATCTTTGCAAAAACTAGAAATGGTATTCAAGGGGCTGGAGAGATGGCTCGGTGGTTAAGAGCATTGGCTGCTCTTGCAGAGGACCCTGGTTCGATTCCCAGCACCCACACTGCAGCTACAAACTGTCCTTAACTCCAGTTCCAGGGGAATCTGAAGCCTTCTTCTGACCTCCATGGCCTTGCATGACACGGGTACACTCACATACACTCATACACATAAAATAAAAATAATAAATAAAATATTTAAAAAGAAAAAACGGTATTCAAAAAGTGTCTGGCAAGTTTAAAAATTTGATGGCCATTATTTTTTATATAAATAAGCCACTACAACAAACATAGTCAGCAGTAACACCTGAAAATAGTCAAAATGCTTCTTCAAAAGTTATCAAGTAGTACTTACCAACACCAGCATTTAAGCCTGCAGTAGGTTTAAATTCTGTCCAGGTACTTAGATGGTACATGCTCAGGAAAAGTGTGCTCACTACATTTCAGAGGGAAAATATCCTGAAACTGGACAGCTGTGATCCTCAGAGTGACAATACCCTGGGGAGATCGGAACCTAGAAATGTAAGTACTTTTCTTTTATTGAACTTTAATTATGTTTATAAAAATTAACCTGTATTGGATTCAAAAAGAGATGGGCTCAAAATGAGGCAGCTGGCCTTGAGGCCTGGGGTGGTGCTGGCTCCCAAGAGACTGAGGAACCTCATCACCCAAGATGAATATTTTCCTGACTATAGGCGCTTCTGTATTGATCTCAAAATTCTAATCCCGGGACTTGATAAGTAAGAAAGAAAATAACTGGAAAGCCAAGATGGCGGCCCCATGGCTGCAGGCACTGGAGCAATAAAGTAAGATGTCTCATCCCTTGTTCCCCTGGGCCACAGAGGAAGATGTGAAAACAGCAGACACCAAGCAAGCCAACTGGACCCCTCAATCATGAAAAAGAAAATCACTTGGACCCAGGTCCTGGCAGGCAGTCATGCCCCAACCTGGCTATCCACTGCCCTTGCCCCTAGGGCACCAAGACTCCCGGCTTCCTGGCTACCAGGCTAGGAGAGACGGGCCAAGTGAGGGCCAAACCAGAAGGTGGGTGGGACCAGTCCACCGGACTGCACCTCTCCTGCTGGTGGCTGGGCCTGCAAGCAGCCTCTGCACAGACCACCGAAGGTTGGCCCAGCCATCATCATCATCCAGGGGCTGTCAAGACCTGGCTGCTGTCCTCAGCAGCAATAGGAAGTCTAAAGATTTCAGAAAATAAGCTAGAGGGCACTGGTGTGAGCTGCTGTGTGAAGCTGTGAAACATCCCGACTGCCACTCAGAGACTCTTGGGTTGGAAGCCTGTGAGCTGTGATGACCTAGTTTCTGTTTTTACCCACAGTAAAACCCTATGGGGAATCAATCTGTTGGAGAAGAACTTAGACCACAGTAGGATAATTGTGCTGAGTGAGGCACTGAAACAGCCCAAAGTGTAACCTGCATGTACTCAGGCTGTGAATAACTGACTCTGATCACTAAGAAAAAGAGAAATCTCTACTTGACATTCCTAAGCAAAGTAAAACAGAAAACAAGTGTGAATATTCCATTCCAAGAAACCTGGGTGTATTCTGACCCAAAAGTACATTCAAAGAAAAGGGAGTGGGCCTTACTTTGGTCCATGTGTATGTAAGAATGAAAGATCACTGACATTCTAATGAGATAGGATTTCTGTGGTACTCAGTTCAAATGTGCTGTGTAAATGGATGGGGCTTTTCATTTGCTAATAGAAGACATGAAGTTGGGCGGTGTGGGGGTGGTAAGGTGATAGTAGAGATGGGGAAAAGGGGTCTGAGTATGATCAAAATACATTAAATGAAATTGAAATCTTGAATCAATAAAAATTAGTTTGTATTATATTTTTGATGACTCAGCTATGACAATATTTTTTTAATATTAATAAAACCAATCATAAAACAAAACAGTTTTGAAAGAAGGAGAAAATTCTCCATGAGCCTGTCACCAATAAGCCAGCCACGTCCTCCCGACTGGACACCTCTGTTCCTCCTCCATACCCCCATCTGCCTCTGGCTGTCAGGTGTGCTGTGGCAGGCACACCTTTTCCTCCCTGTGGCAGACATTTTTCTATACTGCTACTGGACATCCAACATTTTCTTAATGACTGCAAATTATTCTGCCAATGACTCTATCTGTATCATGAAGACAGTGAACACTCAAACAATCCTGCTTAATGTCTGGGAGACCTTTCTTGTTCATATCTAGTAAGTTCCGGTGATGAGTCCCCACAACTCCACGCTTCTTGAAGAACTGGAGTTGACTTGATTGCTTTGCTCCTCAATGGTGAGGCTCCAAAGCATTGGGTGGACATACTGGTTTCATCTTAGGGTTCAGCCCGGCAGATGGGAAGGGAGAAACGCAAAGAGGATGTTACCGCCGGTGCCGTCTCCTGCAGTGAAGTCCCCTCCTTGAATCATGAAGTCCTTGATGACACGATGAAACATGCTTCCTCTATACCCGTAGCCTTTCTAAATAGATAATTTCAATTACACAAGTAGAAATAACCCAAACTAAAAGACAAACCCCAGTGTTTATCTGAAAATGAGAAAATTGAGCAAAATATCTACAGAACTTGATTAGGTCCCAGAATTCATGTAGTGAGAGAAGTTTATCATTAACTGGCCAAAAAATTAAACCATGGTAATAAAGTATTAATATAAATAAATAGAGAGCAGTCTGTACTTTCATTTGATAGTTTTCTCTCAATTTCTATAAGCCCAAGAAATATGATTGAATAATGATTCTATGATAAAATAAAGTATAAGGTGCCACACACTCATCTGACATACTAAGTTAATATGTGTTTTCCCAGAAGACAGCTCTATATCTTGTCTTAAAAGAAAGAAGATTCAAGTTTGTGCTCAAAGGACATAAAGCTGAGACAGACCTTTCCCGTTGCCAGAGTCACAAAATTTTCCACAGTCTTGGGTACAACTTTTCCGAAGAGGCCAATCACAATTCTACCCACATCTTTGTCTCCAATCTTCATGTCAAAGAAGACCTGTGGGTAATTGAAATGCACAGAAGGTCACAGCATGAAAAAGACAAAAATATAAGGTAGGTCAAAAATTACCACATGGCAGCTGACAACTGTAACTCCAGTTCCAGGGGAACCCGAAGCCCTCTTCTGACCTCCCAGGCATTGCATGACATGGGTGCACTCACATACATGCAGGCAATACACTCATACACACAAAAATAATAAATAATGGGGCTGGAGAGATGGCTCAGTGGTTAAGAACACTGGCTGTTCTTGCAGACCAGGGTTCGTATCCCAGCTAACAACTGTCTATAACTCCAGTTACAGGGGATCCGACAGACTCTTCTGACCTCCTCCACGGGCATTGCACAACACGGGTGCACTTACCTACATAAAGGCAGTATACACATACACATAAAAAATAATAAATAAAATATTTAAAAAAAATTTTTTTAATTAAATCTGGATATTGATTCCTACAGGAAAGCCTGCCCACCAGTGTTTTATAAAGAGGCATGAAGCTCAGTTAAAGGTGCTCATAACAACACTGTGTGGGAGCAGCTCATTTCCGAATACTCATTTAACAAACATTGAGTACCAGCTATGGGTCAAGCTCTGGGCTACATTTTGAGTTTGAAGCTTGATTCAGTGTTGTCGGAGTCATCCTACAAAGTCTTCAAGAAGTTACCCCCTCACCCTAGAAAACCGCAGCCCTACTCCCCACTTCCTGGCTTTGTGGACAAAGATCAGAGCAGAGAGTGTTGCTCTTTGAAAAACCGATGTTCTCTTCTTTAGTCAGGAGAAAAAAAATTCTAGGGGAGCGGAAAGCTAACCATCTATATTTATTTTCTGTCATTTCAAACACTGCCAAACTCCTGATGAGTTTTCAGTAGACATCTGCTGCCGAGGGGACAGTCATAGCCAATTAAAACACCCAGCAGTCCTTCAGAAGGCCTGCCACTCATACCCTAATGCAACAAGGCACCAGGTCCCCTGCCTCATGCCCACACAGCAACCTGTGTTTGTCTCTTCACACTTAGAAACTGTACACTTAGACACTGGATTTGGATGCTGTGTTCATGCAGTCATCCAAGTAGACACTGTACTCTCTGCCACGTCTTAGAACAAAAGAAAGGAAGCAGCCAGAAGTTATGAGTCACATTTCTGTGGATTAAATGTTAAAAGTTCCCTTGGACTTTTGAACAAACTGCTTCATCTGAACTGAAATTATACACATTTTGCTTCACAAATCACTATGTTCAGGCAATTCTCTGACAGAAGGCTTGAAATGGCCATGGAGTCACAGGGCATTCCATTAGCGAGTTTAGACTGTATGAACCAATTTACAGTTTGAATTGGAAAAAAAAGTCATTCAAGAGATGGCTTTAAAAAGTATAAGAAGGGCTGTCAAAGAAAAAAGACAGTTTAGAAAAATCACTAAGTAAAGACTGTCAAGCTCAGTTCAAGACAAGGCTTCTGCCAATACATCAAAATGTCTGTCCTGGGATGAGGTGGTGTTTAGTACTTCGTGTGGCATTTCTAATTTTCACACAGCCAAAGTAGCCCAATTTTTGTTATTATTTATATACAAGAGCTGTATCGAAAGTACTGAAGACTCAGTCTTCTTGAGAGGTAGGGCAGAAGAGAACGATGGGACAGAACACTACATGAGTCTGGTCTATACAGAGCTGGCAATCAGACATGGCTGCTCTAAGGGGTTTCCATGCCCTCCTGTGAAAGAAATGGCAGTGACAGAAGAGTCCCACAAGAAAACCAGGGGTGTACTGTCAGCCCCACAAGAGAATCGGGGGCACAATTTTAAAGAAACATCTAATAAGATTTTTTAAAAGCCTTCCAGACTTAGCCGGGCGTGGTGGTGTGAACCTGTAGTCCCAGCACTTGGGAGGCAGAGGCAGGCGGATCTCTGTGAGTTCAAGGCCAGCCTGGTCTACATAGTTCCAGGACAGCTAGGGCTACAGGGAGACCCTTCTTCAAAAAGACAAAAAAAAAAAGCCTCCAGACTTTTAAAATAAAGGAGTAAATAATGTCTGTAAATATTTAGAAAGCAAAAAAGAATAGCATCTAGGAGAGCAGTAGAGGAAAAAACCTGTTACCTAGCATCATTCCAGTAAAAATCCCATTTTTCACATACACACATGCTGTTTTACAATGGGAAACTGGACTTTATAAGGTAAATCAGATAAAGTATCATGATAAGAGATGCTGATTATCTGTGGGGCTCCCAGTGGGCTCTTAGGAAAGGTGGAAGGTACTTGGATTCCATGTCCCCACTTGGATTCCAGTGGGCATCTTGGACATTTCTCTTTTCCTTCAGGCTGTCCCTGAAAGATTTGAAAATTACAGAACACTGAAGATTTGAAGGGGTTGAGAAGGAGAGACAAGGCCTGACCCAACCCCTATAGGGCAAATCCTGTGTCCATTCACTTCCAAATTAACCAGGGAAGACACCAAATACAAAATGGTTAAACCCAGTTCCACAACCAAATGGCCACAGGGGCCTTCAGCTAATGAAATTCTGAGCCATATTCCTCATCTATAAGATAAATTACAACTACTTTCAAAGTTATGTTGTGACAATAGGATTAATAAGTTGAATATACCACTAACAAGTGACCTCTTAAATGAGAGACCATGGACTTGATCTGCTTTATCATACCTAATGTGCAAAACCCCTTATTATACACAAATACATACCCAGGACATATACAGACCATACCAGGTACTTATTTCCATTCACTTTCTATAGAAGAAACAGTCTCAGATATTAAGCCCAAGGTCACCTAGCTGCTGTTTCTTGGCCACTACCTCCTAACATGATTACATGTGGGAAGGATGGCTATGTTGATCTTATAAACTCTCAGTGCCGGCTTCCTCACAGAACCTGTAGCATTTGCAGGAAAATGTGCTTCAGTGGATTCCCAGTCCACAGAGCTAGGATTTGAACCTGAGTGGGATAGGAGGCTGCAAGGCTGGCATAGCAGCAGGCTCCCCAGGTGACATTAATGACATTGAGGGACAACACCCCCCCCATGCCTCTTATTACAGATTCCTAGTTTTAAACAAACTCATAGGCAAAGGAAAAGATGTGGGGAAACAGCACAGGATAGCAACAGCTAGGAAACCTAGTTTTCTCTTTTTAAAACCATTTTCCATTAGATTTAGCTGTTTTAAGAACTTCATTGAAAAATTCAAGGGTCTTGCCTGGAGCAAATTTGTATGAGGCTCACCCACACAGTTAGCCATCGGAACTTGATAAACTTGTGGGAAAGAAGGAAATATGCTAAGTGACAATTAGTCAGGGTGTTCTCTTTTCCCTCGACAGCTTTCTTCTTCCTTGGATTTTTTTTCTAGTCCCAGGTTGTACCACATGATGACCAGAAAATCTCAGGAGGTAAGTGGCTGGGCCCAGGACAAACCCAGTGGCTGACTTGCTCTGGATGAGTCTCCGGTGGGTCGCAGAATCAGTGCATTTTTAAAGCTTCCCAGGTGAACCGCTCCCAGTATGACAGGTGACTTACACTAAAGAACTATTCATGTTAATCTGAAATTCACATCTACTTGAGCATGAGGCTTTTATCTAATGATCCTATCTCTTTTTCACCCCACCTGAGCTTTCTACAACTCCCGTTATGTCTTCCAAGACTATTTGAAACTCCTCGCTCCCCATTCCTTAGATTACCACTGATCCAAGCCACCATCTGAATTCTGGCATGGAGCCCTGAATAGCTTCTCAGTTCATCCTCCAAAGTGACCACAGGAATTTCTTAAGAGCATACATGAAATTGTTTCATTTCTGTGTGCAAATCCCTTCAGTCGTTTTGCATGTTAGAGTAAGGCCTGAGTTGTAAGAATAATTGCTTTGGTGGTCACACTCCTAACTATGCCTTCAAGGCCTTTCTGCTGCTCACTCACCCATCCTCACCTCAGGCCACTCTGCCCTCAGCCCTGCCCCAAAGACAAACTTTAGGCTCCCCAAGCTAGCGCACGGGCAAGGATGGCTTTCTACCCAGAGACCTTGCCTCTCCCCACCCAGAGTTACTGGCTCCTTGGGTAGGTTTGGTGTGAAGGATTTACGCATTCTACTAGTTCAAAGGTATTTCCACTGGCAAACCCGACTGATGGTTAAGACCACTTTCACCTGTCCCCTCTCTCTGCCAAGCCTGGACTGCTAGGGATTTTTTGTTTTGTTTTTCTCAGGCGGTGATCAGAACATAACACCAAAGGCGTCCTTCCCTTTCTCTCCCTGAACTTTTCTGTTATCTTTTTGCCTTTGAGTAAAACCGACTGAAATACAACTGCAGCAGTTAAGCAGAAGTTGTAAGGACTCAGTTTCTGGCGGGTTCTCCACTTGCCTTCTCAACCCCCACACTAGCTAAAGATGAAAAGTGCCACCTTTGCGTGCTCAACCCAGGCCCGCCCCAAAGTTTAAAACTGCACCTCTTCCTCCCAGAGGGTTCCAGCCTCATCCCAGGCACTGGGCCCCAGTGTAGGCCCAGGCTCTTCCAAGAGGGTGACGTCCTAAGGGGGCGGCCGGACTTCCACTCCTCCCCTGTCCCCTCCCTTCACATTCTTCCCGCTTTGTTTCAGGCCCTGGCCAAGCCTAAGGAAGTACTTGGGAGATCTGCCTCCAGGAGAGGGGGCCTTGTGGGCTCCGGGAGCCTGTCTGGGCTCCCTGGCTGGTCACGTCGGAACCCTGCACAAGCGACAAGCCCAAACAGCTGGCAGTGGGGACAGCGGGACTTGGTCCAGCACTCCTAGGGTCGCAGGAGCGCGCCACCCTAGTCCCTTCCACTCCCCGCCAGTCCCCTCAAGCCTTCCCCAGTCCTCTCCAGTCCCCGCCAGTTCACTCCAGCCTTCTGTCCCCTGTGCGGAGCCCCGCTCCTGCAGCCGCGCTCCCCCAGCAACCCCGGCGTCCCAGCCCACAGGAGGGTAAGTTGCTGCCCGCTGCTCGGTCACCTTGTCCGTCACCAAGGGGCCTCGCTTGAGGACGCCGGAGGACCCCGAAGAAGACACGAGCGCGCCGAGCATCAAGCAGAGCACGACCGGCAGCTGCAGCCGGGATCGGCCCATGGTGAGGTCTGGAAGTAGCGGTGATGTCCAGGGAGCGATCTCGGACTCTGCCTGGACGCTCTGCCGCCTGCGCCTGCGCAGTCCGGACTGGGCGGGTGGGGGAATCCTAGCAGGGCGGGGACCGGAGGCACGCTCCTCCCAAGTTCAAACCATTGGTGGGGACAGGGAGCTCTCAGGGGCGCCTAGGGCGCGGCCCCCGAAGGCGCGGCGAGTGGCGCTGGGCATGTCGAGCTGGGCGGGGCACTTACCGCCGAGCATCCTCCCAGTGGACAGCCGGGGCTTAGGCCTAGGTCCTCGGGGCGCAGCCGGGGCGAGAGCGCGCGATCCTGTAGTTCTTCCCTACCGGGAATCCCTGGACGCCTCGCTGAACTTTGATTTCTGGGAGGGTTGAGCTCTATTTCACGTGACTCACGGAGACTTTAGCGTTTGGAGGTCGTTGGAAATAGCAGAATTCAGTCTCTGTCTGGGAGAAACTTAAAGACGGTGAAGTTTTAAATGGGGAGGCGAGGCGTGACCTTATCCAGTTTACTGGGCAACACAAAGTTCAGAACCAGGGCCAAATAGAATTCTTTCCGTGAAAACAAAGTATTTAAACGGACTTTTAAGGTGTATCTGTAGGATGGAATTTTTACAGTGTTAAGAATTATGTTTAGACTTGGAGGGCAGAGGCAGGCAGATTGAGCTCATGGCCATCCTAGTCTATATAGCTAGATCCAGGCCAGCTGGGACTACAAGGAGACCTTGTCTCAAACAAGAATTAGGTTTAGGAAAATAATTTAACTTTTTGGAGAAATTCTCTTTGCATTTTTTAATGGAAAACTCAGTCTGCAAAACCACACAGATAATCTGATCTCAACTTTGAAAATAAATATGAAAATGGCATTTTAAGCCAGGCGTGGTGGCACACACCTTTAATCTCAGCACTTGGAAGGCAGAGGCAGGCGGATCTCTGTGAGTTCGAGGCCAGCCTGGTCTACACAGTGAGTTCCAGGCCAGCTGGGGCTACAGGGAGACCCTGTTTCAAAAAACAAACAAACAAACAACAAGAACAACAACAACAACAACAAAAACCTGACATTTGAAATATTGGAGAAGCGGGTTTGGAACATAGGTCAGTTGGCAGAGTGCTTACCTAGCATTGTACAGAGCAGCGGATTGGATGCCCAGTACCACGTAAACAAGGCATGGTGGCCACACCTGTAATCCCAGAATTTGGGAGGTGGAAAGAGGAGAATCAGAAGTTCAAGTACATCCTTGTCTTGTCAACTTTGGCTACTTAAATTCGAAGCCTGAGTTTCATGAGACTTTCCGGGACGGGGTTTGGGGAGACATTTGCAATAGCTATGGTGACTGGAAAACATATTTTTGTTTTCTCTATGGTGCTCTTATTTCTCAGATGTTCTACAATAAGTATTTTACAACCTGGAAAAGGTTATTTTAAAACATTGCTTTTTTTGAAGTAGAGATTCAAAAAGAACTTTTTTATTTTAGAATAATATGTCTAAAATTAAATTTAAAATTATTAAAATTCTCTCGTCTTAAAATTAGGGCTAGTGTCATGAATTGCAAGCCAAGATTTTCATTAGATAAGCACACAGAGCTTTTAAGAACATATCTAAATGACATTGTAACTGTTCATTATAGATAAAAAATATAGCTGCTACTTTTATTTGTTTGCTATTTTTTGAGACAAGATTTCCCTATAGCCCCAGCTGGCATGGAATTCACTATGTATCTCACAGAGATCCACTTGCCTCTGCCTCCTGAGTACTGGGACCAAAAGCCTGCATCACCTTGCCTAGCCTGTAGCTGCTACTTTTTAAGGCTGGGCAAGACATTTTGGAATCATTTTTGTGATTCAGTTCATTGAGGACCTAATGACTTTCCTTCCCACCCTACCCCAAGAAAGAGTCCCCATTGAGTAGCAATGGCATCAGCCTGAGACCTGACCCTGCTGATTGATATACATGTTTTTTTATTTATTTTTATTTTATGTGTATGAGTGTATTGTCTTCATGTAGGTAAGTGCACCCATGTCATGCAATGCCCGCGGAGGACAGAAGAGGGTGTTGGATCCTCTGGAACTGGAGTTACGGACAGTTGTTAGCTGCCATGTGGGTGCTGGGATTCAAATCCGGGTCTTCTGTAAGAACAGCCAGTGATATTGTTAACCACTGAGCCATCTCTCCAGCCCCAATATACATATTTTGTCTGTGTTTATCACTGTCTCTGTTATCAGAAGCAAACACCACTGAATGTGACAGAGATTATGTCTGATTTTATTCCTCTTGATGACTCAGATCTAGTACAATGCTAGAATAGAGTGATAAATATTGGTCAATATTTGTTAAGTGAATGAATGTGTCTATTTTAATCCTACCACCCTACCACCCAGGCAAAGAAATGCTCTCTAGAAGGGCTGTCAGCTATCTAGAAACTCCTTGTATAACTCCTCTCTAGGACTAACAATTTTTTATTAGAAGCATTTCATTACAGCTTTAACATACTCAATAACAATTTCCAGAGCAAACATGCACCTCTTTCAAAAGTGGCTATAAAATTTTTAGGTTCACAGTTGAATCAATACAGTTATACAATATTGAACTCAGTATAAACCCTGTAGGACATAAAATGATCTGCAATCTTGCCTTTTTTTACACTCAGAGTTTAATTTCAACTTTATATGAACAGGTTCATACAGAGGACATTTTTTGGCTTCAATTTTTGTTTGTGAAATCCATCGATGTTTTGGTGTGTAGTTATTTTGGTGCAAAGCACAAAGTGAGAGCAATTCATTTTTTTCTACATGGCTGTCCTCTTGTCCAGCAGTTTATTGGAGAGTCTGTCTTTTATCCACTGCTCTGTGGTGCTGCTTCTGTCATGGCACGTGTCCACATATGCATAGGTCTGCTTGTGGGAACTCTATTCTGTCCCACTGGCCTGTTTGTCCTTCTTTATGCCAGTACCACACTGACTTGGTTAAAATACCTTAACATTAAATCTTCTTGTTCAGTAGTATATGTCTCCTCAACTTTAGTCCCTGAATTCTCGGCTGTTCTTGACCTCTCTGTCCATTTAAACTTGAGAATCAGCTTGTTTTTCACACTGAAATTTTGACTGGGATTGTATTGTAACCATAGATAATTTTGGAAAGACATGGCAAATTTACAATATCCAGTCTTCCTATTCATAAGCATGTTCTATATCAACATCTCTATCAACTCCTCTCTACCAGGGCTCAAGGAACATCATCAAAGAGGGAGAAGAAAGAATATAAGAGCTAGAAGGTGGGGATGAGTACTTTGAATGTGGTCTCTGGACATGTGGCTAGTGCACTCAAGAACTCACCACAGCTGTGGTTTCCTGCACAAGACCTGCACAAGACCAAGCCAGTCAATGTGCCAGCATCGATGAGGGAGGAGCTCAAGAAGCCCCATCCCTATCTGAGGATCTATAGGCAGTTGGTGGTTGCTGGGGTAGGAAGAGTCTATTTTCTTTGGGTGTGTGATCCCTGGTAGAGTCCCCATGCTTCAGTAGATGGCCCCATACCCCTGTGCATGAAGGCAGCACTAACTAGACTCAGTGTGGGGTGGGGGGGAGATAGATATTGATTGTAGCATAATCCTTTATACCCAGCACCTGGGAGGCAGAGGCCAGCTTGGTCTACATAGCTTGTTCCGGGCCAGCTGAGGCTACAGGGAGATCCTGTATGAAACAAACAAAACACCAAAAAAAAAAGAGAGAAGAGAACATGGACATGAAGGTGGGAGGAGGGTTACTGGAGGGATGTGGGAAGAGAGAAACTGGGAGTGGGGGTGGATATGATCAAGATACATGGGTACATGTATGAAATTGTCAACAGATAAATAAAAATGTTAAAAAATATACCAATAAGGGGTCAATGAGATGGCACAGTGGGTAAAGGTAGGTAAAGGCACTTGTCACCAAGCAGATAACCCGAATTCAATCCCCAGATGCCACATGGATCCCACAGTGGAAGGAGAGAACCAACTCCTGTGAGTCATCCTCAGACACACAGGCACTGTGGCATTCATATGGGCATGCACACACGTGTACTTGAAATAAATAAATAAATGTAAAAGAATTTTTAAAACCTGCTATTAATGTGTAGATCCTGTAAAGCCAGGCCCTTTCATCTGAATGAATTTAATCTGAATGATTTTAGTATTTTTTATTTTTTGAGCACCCTAATTGGAATTTGTTTACCTGAAAATTTCTTTTCATTCTGCTTGGGCTTTGTAGGCTTCTTCACTATGTGACTTGATGCTTTTTATCAATTGGAAAATTATTAGTCATTTCCTTTTCTAAGTCACTTGTAATAGATCTTAATTCCCTTTCACAGTGACTTCATTTATGTGCATTCTTGAACCATTTCCTTCACATGCAACAAAACATTTGAGGTGAAAAAAATCATAGCTTAAAAGCATGTGATTGAAATTACAGATTAAGGGCTGAAGAGATGGCTCGGTGAGTAAAGAGCTTGCTGTGCAAGAGTGAGGACCTGAGTTCAAATCCTCAGCATCCTTATAAAGCTGGGCATGACAGCACATGCCTGTAACCCCAGTGCTCCTACAGTGAGATGGGAGGCAGAGACAGGAGAAGCCCCAGAAGCTCACTGGCCAGCTCCCCTGGCATATACAACGCTGGGGCAAACAACGAAGACTAGGTCTCAAACAAGGCAGAAGGTGAGGACCAACACCCCATGTTGTTCTCTGACCTCCATGCCAATGCTATGGCATAGTATGCCCACACTCACACACGCAAATGGACACACACAAGGTTTTTTAAATAACAGGTGAAATGTAAAGCTAAATCTGAGATGAAACTCAAGGATTACATGTATGAACTATAAAAACTATAAAAAGTTAATATTTTGGCAATTATCTTTTATAATATCACAATAAACAATGGCAGTAGATTTTTTTCACTTGCCTCATTTGTTGTAATTTTGGCTTCTGATAAAGAAAGATTCATTTATGTACCCAAAAAATACAGTTTTATTATATTTCATGTTTTATTACCTAGCAGTCAGAAGCAAGTTGAAGATTTCTGCTACTGGTAAAACAAGTGTTGGTCTCAAAGGTACATTTCAGTGTGTTAAAAAAAAAACCTTTATTGCTGGG